CCCGTTCCCGCCGCGGGGAGCGGGGCATGCGGGGAGCGGTAGTCTTGACGGCTGCCGAAGCCTGGCCGTTGCTATTGCAGTCGGGGGCAGAGGGCAAGGCGCGCCAGCGGGTAGGGACGGTGTCTTTTCTTTGGCCGATTAATTTAGAAGAATTCTTTATTTGTTCTCAGAAAAGATATGAGCTCTTTCTACGAATCTTGCTCTTAAAATAATTGAGACTTACAGGACAAATCTGTAATTATTGAGGGAGCTCCAAGACAAAGGCAGCTCCATTTTAAGACGAGTATGATGGGATTGAGGAAATATGCTGATTTCCATTGATCACCACCCCTACGTGTCCAAGACATGGGGGAGAGAGTCCTCCTGAGTTCCCCCATTTAGCCCTGGTGAAGTCCATGCTCCTTTATCATGTTAAATAGATGTATGGCTGTGCAAGCCTTGTACAGTCAGGGCTAAAAGTGTGCCAGCAGGTATCAGTTTCTTTGAATACACTGCGATAACAGAGATAAAACCTGAGAATTTGTTAATATATTCTTTAGAGACAGCATCCTGGTGTCCCTGCAGACATCCAATCCCTCCTGCCTCAGGTGGCAGCCAGCTGTCAGGTCCCGCCAGCTGGTGGAGCAGGTAATAATCATGCATGAGGCAAGTCAGGTGGAAAAGATAGGCTTGTTTACCGGCACTCGGCTTAGGCAAAGTTCATTTAGATTTATGGAAACATCTAGTTCTCAGTGACTACTTAGAAAAGATAAAGCTGTCATTCTGGTTTCAATAAACATTTCTTTTATCTGTAACATCTTCAACATGTTAACCACTATTTTTAAAAAATCTTTAACATAGCATTTATCAAAAGATTTATAAAAACCTAAGACATCTAATTAGACGTTCTGTTATTTCAGCTTTGCGTCTGCATGTATATATGCCTGATTTTTTTTCTGATATAGCTGCCAGAAGCACAAAAGCTTAGGTAGAAAAGAATAGCAACAGCTTAACATTTTATCAGATGGAATCATGCTTAGTAGCATGTAGGAGAATATGTGGCAAATATTTTGTTAACAATTCCAGTTAAGAAGATTCACTGGCAGCCCGTTCTACCTCTAGCTGTAAAACCTTCCTTGCTGCAGTTTCTTTCCCTTCTACCCAGGGAGGGCACAAAAAAAAAGGCAGAACCCTCTTTTTGCTTAAGCCAGCGCTGTTTCTCTGCTTAGCTATTCTTCTTCCAGACTAAACAAGCCCAGTTTCTTTAACCTTCACAGCTTTTCTTATCTTGTTGCTCTTTCCTCTGGATTATTTCCACTTGATTACATTCTTTATGGCCTGCAGGGGTAGAAGCGAACCTTACTCTCCAGCAAAGGCCAGTCTTCAAGTAGGAGGGACTCACGGTCCCTCAGATCGCTCTTTGGCCCTCTTTGCCTCTTCTACAATACTAGGCCTCACGTTCAGCCTGTGAGCAGGTCTGAAGGGACAGTTAAGACAGCTGACACAGCTGGAAGTGTAGGTATTTAGACGATACCTAATATTATATTTCTAATGAGACAGGTGGCATAGCTGGCAAAAACGGACATAGCTCTCCAGACACGTGAGTCCCCCTTCAAAGCTGCCTTCAGTGACTTTCTGCGCGGTAGCGCCTCTCCTCCCGTTGACGCGATTTATTCTTCAATCTGCGCCCAGTCACGCCTGGCATAACCTGCCTTGCTTCCAGGGCTCCTCTCGCCGTCGGCTGAGAGGGCTCCGCGCGGCGCCCGCCTCCC